ATGGCAGGTAGGACAGCATTTACCTGCCAGTAAATGGCAGCCTCCGATGTTACTGCTCTGCATTGAAAACACAATTTGTAAATTCAATTAACTTGTTTACCCCAGCGCAGCGGTGGGGCGGTGGCGCGGTGGAGCCGCACTGCCGGTGGTCCCGACGAGTGGCTTGTGACAAGTTAGTTTGTTGCACAAATCGAGCTTTAATATTTTAAAACAGTGATTACAGCGATTATCCCTTCACTTCACTAATCGTTTCTCTAGTTAACCAGCTTACTTGTCCCTCCCAGCGGGTATTTATGTTAAATACTATTATATATATTATAGTATTTGTATTTAATCTGATTCGTACTCGTTTCAAGTTGCACGGACACAAAACACCTGGAGATATGTTTAAAAAAATATCTCACAAATGGCCCTCATATGCAAATGGCCAATGAAAATATTCCACTTGATTTTATGCAATTTTAATTAAACTCCCAGCATTTTTCCGCCATTTCCTCTGTTCTTTTCCGCTTAACCCAGAGTCTGTTTGCCCGGGAAGGGTGTGGGTGTGAGTGTGTGTTTGCGCCAGCGGCAAACTGATACACAAACAGGCCCAACACCCGGTGGACGTCCGAGACTGCAGTTCCCAGTGGCCCAGTGGCAGGTGCACAAAAAGGACTCATGGAGACGGATTAAGCGGAGTGCTGGGGAGGGCCGAACGCATGGCAACGCGTGGCCAGGCGGCGCTTATCAACACGGATCCAGGACCCTGACCCGACGCACGGACACTCGCATTCAATCAAGCGGCCCTTTGTCGCGCTCTAAAATGGTTCTCACATTGGAGGGAAAAAATACCGCTATCTCTTGTGCTCTCTCTCTGTCTGGCCATTCTCCTTCTGTGGCCTAACCACATGTTGCCACTTTCGTTCAGTGTCCTGGCCCTCGTAGTCGCCTTCGTCTCACTTTAATGTCGCTGCTGCTGGGGCCGCTCTGCTCCCCCTGGAGCTATCCGTTTCCGGGCCGTAATCGATTTTGAGCCAAACGAAAGACCCACTGACAGCAGCACCACCACCAACAAAAATAAAGCCAACAACAGCACCGGCATCTGCAGCGCATCCTTTGGAAATGCCGCTGACAGTGGCGTAGCCCAACTCAAGAAAAGCGAAATTCCAGGAATACATTAGACAAGATGAAAACTTTCTTTGAAGATAAAACAACAGCTAAAAGAGAATAAAGTTGAAAACACCGCTAAAAAGGAAGTGGATGATGAGGTAGTGAAAGATAAGGCCCTTTCTTAGGCCCAATGGAATCATACAAGGATTATTAAATATATTTTGTTTTTGGGCTATTTTTTAATTGATAATTTTTGAAATCTTTTCCACTAAAAACCTAATCAGATGCATTTTAATAGACCCCCCCAGTTGCTACGCTACTGCTCCGATTATGCCTGTCTTTACTGTCTTTACTTTTGGCAGTTTAAAGCTATGGAGACGCGAAACCCATTGATTGCCCCAGGCAGACGTGCGACTAATGGAATAGTCAGAAACATTTGCCAGATTACGGACTGATCCAGGGTCTCAAGCGCCCCCGGCTGGGGCAATGCAACTATTTATTTAGCCGGCAGTCAAGTTTTTCCATTTCCATTTAGGAGGAGTCACTGAACTGGTGGCCTCCATCCAGGCTGGAGCCACGGAGGTGGCCGGGGCGCTACCCTGCAGCTGTCACAGCCAGTGGACCTTGCCTTGCAGTTGATTGAGTTCGTGTTCATGTTATTATTGATTTGATTTCGCTATCGTCAATTTGCAGTTCCGCTGGCAGTGAATACATCATCGGGCTGTCGGTTCGCAGTCCGATGCACACTCTTTACGGCTCGCTTAGAGTCTATTAGACTTCGCAGACTGGCAGGTGTTTGAATATATATCCCAACCACTCCATCGCCAGCCACCGCCGGCTTGTGCACATAAATCAAAATGGGTTTTTAAACTACGCGACTGGTCGGGGTTCATCTCCCGGCTTCATCTGCATCTCCATCTCCCTGTCCCTCTTTCGAGCCTGTAGCCATCTCTCTCGATCTGTCCGTGTGCCCTGTCTCATGTGTGTGAGAGCTGCCATAAAACACCAACAGCAAACCACAAATATTTTGAAGCGTTGGGGCTGCGGATGTGAATGGGGGAATAGGGAGGACGACGACGACAGCGACAGCGACAGCGACGATGGTGGTGATGATGATGGAGGCGCATAAAACTTGTTGAATTATTCGGCTCTCGGCATGAACGTGGCGTTGCAAAATTCTTTGCCTGCTTTCGCCTCAGCCGAAAACGGAATTTTTTATTATTATTGCAAATTAAAAAAGTTTACATTGGCTTAACTATGTGAACGCCACGGCCAAGACCAGGCCCAGGCCCAGACCCAGACCAGAACAGATCTGTCAGCCCAACTATGTAAAAGCCAAGTTTTAGCTGAGAATGAGAATAAAGCTTGGCCAGGAGGATGGAGGGATGAATGGTTGGAACAACGTTTTGCAAGAATATTTTCAACATTTCTGCCGCAGGCGAAACACAAAAAGCGTGAGGCCCAAGACCCATCATAGGCGGGCTGTCTCACCTGACTACTCCTCCCCCACACCCCCCACACCCCCCACACCGTCCCCATCTACCCCACCTCACCGCCAGTCAACGAGGCGTATTAGCAAATTAAATTCCATTTTCGCAGGTGGGACGTCTGCGTGTGACTATGAGCTGAGGACTTGCAGCCATCAAATTTAATGCAGAACAGCCATCCGAGCTGCTCCTCCTGGAGTTGGCTATTGTGGGTAGCTCTGACGGTGATGCGAGTACGTGTGTGGTCTGTGGTCAGCCAGGCGCACAGCACAGTTTGCTCCATAATCGTGTGTCCTTCCTTCCGTTGAAAATGATGTGTGCTTTAAAATTAAATGCAGTGCAGGGAAAGGGAGAGATTCATCGAGTTCTATTTGATTTTCGCCAACTCATTAGAAACATTGAAATGTCCCCAGCTTAAAGGAAACCGTCTGACCAAATCAGGAAAAAAAACGGCCGGCTAGAATGGCTTGGCATCGAAAGGGAAACATAAAAATGCCGAATGGCAGAAATAAAAGGAAAGGCACGCGCCAAAAACCCAACAAAAAGGAAACTCTGCCTCTGCCCTCTGTGACTCGGGGAATTGATAAAAAGGAATTGTCAAGGCTGGCTTTGGGCTTAAGCCACGTCGGTGCACAATACTCGTACGCACAGATCTATAGATGGTCGCTGTGTGAGCATATGCACAGCGGCTTTGATCTATCTCTGCCTCAACATGAATGGCCCCCGACAAAATGGCGGGGCCAGGAACTTGTCTAACAATTTGACGCTTTAATCCGCCTCTCAATGCCGGCAGTCAGACAGTGGGACAGACGGCAGTGCGGGAAGGAGGGAGGGCGGGAGGGCGGTAGTTAAGCAGAGCGGGTGATAGAAAAGAAAAACTCAAACAGCTCTCTGTCTTCGCTTCAGTTGGCCAAAAGCAAGCTGAGATTCATTCAAACTGGCATGGCTATCCGCGTCTCTGTGTGTGTGTGTGTGTATCTGTGTGCTGACTGTCTTTTATGCGTTTCTATCTGGTGTCGTATTATGGTAATTCGCATCGAGTCCGATTAGAGGCAACATGTGGAAGAACGAGTTTCTCTGTAACAGAAGAGCCTTTTCCGGCTTCCTATCTCACTCTCTCGCTCTGTATAGTATTCTGTTTGTAACTGAATAAAAAACATGTAATACTCGTCCAAATCAGAATGAAAAGACTGCATATGGTTTGGTCATTAAATATAAATTGATTCTTTGTTCTGTACTTCTGTTGCATTCTTTAGAATAGGCCTGAAAAGATATCATATTGGGTATGGCTTAAGGTCAGCTATGGGAAGAACTTTAATTCTCCAATCTCCTGCTGCTTTAGTCACAAAACAAAGGAGAAGGAAAATGAAAATGAAAATGCTTTTCGCTGTTGGTCACTGGCAAATGAGCTGGCGAATGAGTGCTACTGGGACCTGGGAGATGTGCTTTGTGTCGCGCCGAGACGCATCTGGCCCGAGCTGACACTGAATAGGCAGCTGGTCTTGACCAGAGCCAGCCAGATGGGGTGGAACAAGTGGCCTCAGATTGCATTTTCCCCCACCCCAAACCCACCCCACCACAGGCTCTCTGCCGACTTTAGCTTTCCCCTATTTTCTCTGTGCTGATTTGCCACTTGAGACCTGTATGCTGGCCATAATTTAATATCATGCGAAACGAGTTTATGGCAACTGCAATATTATTTGCATGGCCTGTACTGCCTGAGACTCGTCGCCTGATTCGATTTGAGTTTCTCAGTTAATCAATTGATTTTTCCTCCACTCCGGCAACAGCATCTGCATCGGCATCTCCATCTGCACTCTGTAAATTGTAGTATATCTACTCCAAGGTACCAGAGTGAATGCCAGCAGATGTCACTTGCATATCCTTTTACAATATATTACACATCACTTTGATTTATATTGCTGGTTTATTGACTTTTATTGCATGGAATGCTCTTTGATTCTTCAAAAGGATACATAAATATGGGACAATAAATTGTAACTATTCATATTTCCCGCCGGAATCGCTTGTCGCAGGGTAATTCCGCCATTGTCTCGCCATAATTAGTTTTCCTTGAGCGGTTCTTTTATGTGTAAGCTTCATTAAATTTTCAATTGTCGCCGAGACTCAATCAATTTTGATTTCCCAACTTGCAATAATCCCCAACACTTACGGAAAACATAGATATTGATGGTCCTTCTCTGTAAATCTTAATGGTATAGCCATTAAAAGCGATTACTATGCGGTCAGGGGGTGCGAGTGTGTGGTCGCGTTTTGTGGTGCGTGGCATTTTAGAGGAAATCAATGAACCGCCCCGCCTGCCCTCTGGGGCGTTACATTTTATTAGCGCAAAATGATTTCATGTGCCAAATATTTGCCGAAATTGACGACGACGACGCCGACCGCCCATGGCTGTCCTAAATGGCATTGCTAATGGCCGACATTAACGGGGCGTATGCGCAATCTGCGTTGTCATGCCGGACACGCGTCCGTCGATACTGCGGAGTTGGCTTTAAGTGCACTTTGGCCCTCTAATCCGGTCAGTCATGAGTGTGTGTGTGCATGCAGTTAATGTCCTCTCATCGATGGGCTAAAATAGCGATTACAGAGCAGAGTAGTAATCCGCAACATTTGTGTGTCCTCTTTTTTTGCAGGCATCTGGTACAACAGTGACCGTCGCGATTGGGTACGCGTTGCCGGACGATAGTACCCATTGTACCCTGTCAAAGGGTTGAGACCATCGTCACTGCGTAAATCATCCTCCTCCAGCAGCAGCAGCATCAACAACGCCTGCCCCCCGCCGCCGCCCACACCGCACCAAGTGAACACCAGCAGCAGCAGCAGCAGCAGCACTCCGCACCAGACACAGACATCGCCACATTCCCAGCATCAGCATCCGCATCCACACCATCCGCATCCGCATCCGCACCAGCACCAGCACCAGCACAGACGCAGTAGCAGCTCCAGTCACACCAGCCACGCGGAAAACACGAGTAGCTTGGCCACGAAACCGGCCATCAATTTGCTCGGCAATCAACTGCAGGTCAACTACTTCGAGTTCCCGCCCGCCACTCGTCCGCCGGCTTCCGACCAGCCACTGTGGGTCAGTCGCGGTCGCAACACAGCCTCCACCCCGGCCCTGAACTCCAACTCCAGCAACAGTTACAACAACATCCACTACAGCTCGGCCGTTGCCAAAGCAGCCGCCTCAACAGCTTGTGCACTTCTTGCCACGTGCCACGTGTCCAGAGACTCCCCCCAACATCAGCAATACCACCTCCAACAACACCAACAACACCAACAACACCAGCAGGAAGAACCACAAACACCAAGCAGCATGGGTCGCCGTGAGATAAAGCGCTCCAACACCAGTGGCTCCACCACCAGATCCTACGACAGCGGCAGCGGTGAGTAGAAAATACTTTAAGAATACACCCTAACGCAGATCTATTCACTTGAATAGAATTCAAAAGAGCGGGCCAGTGGGAGGGGGCCCTGCCTAATCGCCTTACGTTCAGTGATTGGGACTCTGGATGCCTCGGGAAATGGAATTAGGCTGGCAAATTAACTCAACGGAGATTTGTTGTCAAGCTGTCGTTGTCCTGCTGCCCAATGCTATTTGCCGTCGAGCTCAAGAGGTGTTGAATGGGAACAGAGAAGTGGGACTTGATGTAGCCGAGAAATAATAAAAGAGAATATCGAAAGAGCTTCAAATGGGAATCCAAATGGTTCGGAAATTAGTTCCACCTGCAACACAGAAAAGAAATTGCCTAACCATTTCTCTGGGCTGTTCTTTACTGATAATTAAATTATAATGTGGGTTCTGTTAACGAGTACATCACAGAAAGCCTTAATAGTTCGTTAAAGACTTTATACAGATCAATCAATCTATAAGTACAGACTTATGAGTCATTTATTAAACTCTTGTTTCATTTCATTTATGAGTTTTATTTTATTAAAAAGTAGGCAGAGGACACAGCCCCGTTTGCGCCAGCCTTTGTTGCAAGTAGAGAACATACACCGACTAGAATTTCTGTTGCATCCTACGACTACGAATCAGGAAACTTTGGCTGGTAAGGGCAAACGGGGCCTAAAAGGCGAGGCTGATGTCACAGGCAAAAGTGCAAAGTGCTTAACTCACTAGAACTTAATTGAAAATGCATTTGCAGTTGCAGTCGCAGACACGAGGTGGCTGACCGCATCCGTGGCCAGTCGTATTGGTGGGGACTAGGAGCAGTTGGCGACTATGTTGGAGAGGGTCTGCTCGCAGCCCTGGTACAGGAAGCACTCGTATAGCGAGCCTATGTTCCGGCTGTACAGACTGCAGCAGAGCTGCGAGGCGCGCTGGCATTTGCTGCCCGGCTGGTAGTCAAACTCCTCGGGAAATCGCAGGGCGTCTGCAATAGGGAAGGCCGGATGTTATCGAAAATGTTGTTTTGGTGTCGACGGCGACGGCGACGGCGACGACGACGCTTACCTTGCCGGTAGGAGGGTTGTGGCGCCAGGGGCGCTGATTCTGCCACAGGCACGGGCGAGTCAAGAGGATAGGTTTCTCCGAGACGTTCATCGTCTGCAATTAAGAAGCGTTGGCATGAAAACCATCGTGTTAAAGTGCAAGTGTGTGGATGGATAAATTGTTTGTTGTGGTTTTTGGTGGGTGTGTGCTTCGGTTATGTAAATTTGTGTGCATGTTTACCCTGATGGCTCGGAGTTTGAATGTTTATTCATTCAATTAATTAACAACTGGCTGTAATTTATGCCCGGCTGCACAGTAGCATCTGCTGATTGCATCAATTATGAAGGTGCAACATACGTAATTATATCCCCCGGATGTGCGCAGCTTAGGGTCAAGAACTCCCCATTCAATTCCCAGCCAGAAGCCACAGGATCTAACCTCTCTCTCTATCTCTCTACCGCTCTCCCTTGTGTGTCTGCCGTTGGATTTGCAGGTGTAAATTGTATTTTGTGGTACGTAATAGATGGGTAATTAAAAGATAAGCTATCAATGGGCAGTGGCAGTGTCAGCTGACAGCTGCCATCTGCCACCTGCCACCTGCCACCTGCCAGGTGCAGCTCCACGCTCCACGTTGGCTAATTGATATGGTGGCTGGGATTGTGCAATTGCGACTGAATGGAGAGTCGGAGGACATGATGGTGCATTACATGACCAACCACCAACCACTCAATTGATATCCAATTAAGCCCAGCATCATCATCGTAAGGACAAATTGTATCGGCCAATTACGAAACTTTAATTCGATTGCTGAGCGGATGACACTAAAACGATGATTGGGTAAGCAAATAATAGATGCCAGATGCCAGATGCTAGATGCCATAAGGACTGTAATTGTGGTTGCGTGTTTTTCGAGTGCATACTCCTATAATAGACGCCAACAGACCATGAGTTAGTTTGCGTTTGTTTGCGATGAGGTGTTAGTAGTAATCAATGTGGTTGAGTGTTTCGCGTTGTGTCCATCACCTGGCTACGCAGGGAATGCCCGTAGGTATTCCCTGGCTCTTCGCTTTGGCGGGCCACAGAAACGTAGACAGAAAGAATCTTCACGGAAAGCGAAGGCTTTATTAAACAAGACTTAAGACTTATGCGAGTAAATAAATTAAGTTTTGTTTTATTGAGATTTGATCTTGGGTAATACTTTGGGAAGCAGCACCACGAAGCGACGCGAATCCTACTGAAAGTTGTTCAACACTCTGGATAACGAACCATCGAGCACAGTCTCGTCGGCGCACGGATTGATGCCCCAGAAGGCGCCGCTGCAGCCGAACTCCTCGAAGCAGTTGTACCGGATCTTCTTGCTGCCCTTCGAGCAACAGTTCACGATCGCCCACACGCAGTTGGTGACCTTGGGCGAGGGTGTCGCTCTGGGCGTGGGCCGTGACCAGCTGGGCGCGGCAGTCACGGGCGGGGAGTCCCACGGCCGACTCGTCGTCTGCGTCTGTGACCAGGAGGGTCGGCTCACTATATAATTCACAAAGAGGGCAATAGGTCAAGACGAGTAGAAGAACAAGCGATAGATAGGTGGCGGAGGCAGGTTAGCAGCAAAGCCTTTCATTAATCACACAAAGACTTTTTTCGGGAATGGTATCTGAATTTTCGCAGGGCTGTAGCATAATGAAACCTACCTGGGCGGGAATTGCTGATGGGTCCCCAGACTTGATTGTTCACTGCAGGCGGACTGTTGCTGATGTTGTCGCGTCCTCTGTCAGAGCCAGAGGCAGAGCTAGAGCCAGAACTGCCACTGATCTCATTGGGATTGGGCCTGGGCTGATTGAATATCGAGAAATCGGCCTCAGCTGGATCTGAGTTGTGCAGCAGGAAGTCGTCCCTGCTGCCAATGCTCATTGGGTTGGTGGGGTTTTCGTCCGTTTTGTCCTGCCAAATGGGAAGCTTGCCGGGCAGGATCGGCTTCTTTCCCGACACAGGCAATCTGCAATGGGAATGAGCATTTGAAAAAGGCCTCAACGATGGGTCATGATCTCTCTCACCTTTGTGATGGCTTGGCTGGCAGATAGTAGTAGGGAGAGGGCGGTGCCGGAGGCTGGAAGTAGACCGCATGGGACGGGGTCTGGTAGTAGCTGGAGTGGGAGCACGGAGTGTAGGTCTGACGACGCTGGCGGCTGTGGTACTTCTTGTGGCTCTTCCGCAGCCACTCCTCCTTCGTTGGCTTCACCAGCTCCGCGGCCTCCTCCAGGTTCTTCTTCGGCGCCGCCTCCAGGTCATCGTTCAGCACAATGGGTTTGTCGGGCAGGACGTCGAAGACGATCTTCTCCTCCTCCTTCTCTTGGTGGGGCTCCTGTCGATGGTGGTGCGTGCGTGAGTGCTTGTGCTTCTTGTGGTGCACGGTAGTGGCCGTCTCGTTCTTGCTGGGGTCTATGGAAATGCCATGAAATTAGTCTGGCTTCAGTTTGAGGCATGCTCGAGTACTCACCATAATCCTCGCTGACGAAATCCTCCTTGTACATGATCACCGGATGGTCCGCCTGCATGACACCGTCCACCATTCTCACTTGATGGATCTGAAGCGAGAGTTTTGAGGGGTCAGCAAGTGTTGCAATGGCCACTATTGGCATTTCCCTTACCTCCACATTGTCCATATCCGGGGGCAGGACTGCAATGTCGCTCTCATCCTCCGTCGGGGGTCGACTGGCGGCCTGGGCCACTAGACACAGCACGAGGGTAAACAGCAGAGCCGGAAGTCCGAGGCTGCGGTTGCCATTCGATGGCAAACTTCGATTCATCTCCTTCAGTTTGTTGTGGCGTCTGCAATTGGCAGCAGGCAAAGATTGTGCATTAGTTGTTTCCGTTGCCCCGAGTCAACTTTTACTCTGCAGTTCAATCTCAATTACTTGTCCCGGGCGCCCCCCCTGCACCCCCCACTCAACACACACATACACATAAGGAGAGGGACACGACATCGACACCCCTCCCCCCCCTCCCGCTGCAGAGCTCTGGCGGAGCAAAGTTTTGAAGTTGTAAATTTTGTTGCGGCTTTGTTCTGGCTTTCGGCCTGACTCACAGGATCGGGATCAGGATCTGGCTTAGTTTTTGTTTGGTCCTGGTTTGGTTTGGTTTGGTTTGGTTTTGAGGTTGGTTTTAAATTAGACATCAAGTTGAGTTCAATTTTTCTTGGCCTTTTGTTGCATGTTTTGCTCTGCGGTGAACTTTTGAATTACTTTTTCTCGCATTCTGCTTCCCTCTGTTTGCCATTCTTTATGTATTTCTATTTTGCTTCAGCTTCCGCCCAGGGTTATTGCAGCACGTCGCAAGTTCGTCTCGTCCGCCATAAACCGCTGTGGCAAGCCTCGTTGGGCGCTGCCAAGCGGAAAGGCAGAAACTTCGCCCGACACCATGACACAATAACACCAAGTGTTTTAAGTATTTTTAATATTCTAATGCAGAGCACTCCACCCGGCCCAGTCCCACTCCCCACTAACCGATTGTTGAGTTCTTCTTTCGAATGCGATGTTCCGCTTTTGGCTGTTAGATTCAGACTGAAGCGAGCACAAGCGATTCTGCTCAATATAAACGAGAAACCAAAAGTTTGAACAGCTGCCAAGGTATTTCTCTCTCCAGATCGATGCCTCACGTTTTGCCCCAATTCGAACTGATAAAAGCGAGCACTTTTTTGTCAACAGCAGATAACTGATACCGACAGAAAGCCAAGATGATAAAAAATCAACAATTAGTCACAGGAGTTGGTATCTTTTAAGTGAGAAAAATAAGTACGTCACTGGACGATTCCGCTGACTGCTGTATTCCTTCTAGAATCTACCCCATTCATGCCTCAATCATTTCTGAATCATTCGTTTTTTTCGCTTAAGCAAATGTTGAATAGACTTGTGTATTCGAAAAGGAATTGTTTTGGTTTACTGGAAATTCCCAGAGATCAATCGGCAGTAAAAGACGGCACCGACATTTATATTAATATTCTCTGGAAAACCCACAAATCAAAGGCCAGAAATAACATTTACAAATTTTATGTTCTCAAGAATTGGCGTATGTCCTCAATTGATGAGTGGAAAACAAAGCGTATTATGTTCTATCTCTGGTCTTCAAAGGGTCTTCGTCCAATTAGCCAGCGAAAAATATTGGATTACAGAGCAAAGAAAAATCCCTGATGAGCCCCTGATGGAAATCTGAGCGGGAAAACAAGGGACAATCAAATGGGAAATAGAGAAAGGGAGAAGGGGAAAAAAGGGAGTACGTTAAGTGCAGGGGGACTTTGTTTAGCCATAAATCATCGCAGACATTGGAGTCTGAGTGTAAATTGGAATTTTACATTCCACGGATTTGCTGGCCAATGAGTAATTGAAAATTCCTGATATCCTGTCGACTCTCCTAATGGATTTTGCACGTGGTAATCACCGAAATGTTTGCAGATTTTGGGCCAAATGTTTTTGCGGTGAATGCAAAATTCTCTTTTCCAGCAACATATCCTCCCGTGGGTGATCAAATCAAATAAATTGCCAAAATACATTTCCCGTTTCCGGCTGCAGTCGGGGCCCATAAAAGTATGCTAACTGTTGTGTTGATGTGCATGGCCATCGTCCTATATATAGAGTCTGACACACACACAAGCACAAGCCCTCGCTCACAGCCTCAGACTGCCGAACCACAAAAGTAACACTGTTCACTGGAGCTGAAAATATCGGGGGCCGAGTCGAGCCGGGCCGGGCAAAAACTCAATTCCAAAAAATTTGTGTGAATAGCCAACGGAAATTGTAAGTTTGTTGGATGAATAACCCACAATTTGTTGCAACAACAGCAAGAGCAGCAGCGGCAGGAGGAGTGAGCCACAAGTGGCAGCTGTAGAAATGAGCTCAAAAACAAGCTGGCAAAAGAAATAAAGGAAATAAAAATACGGTTCTCGCTCCCATCATATGAATATATGAATCGGCTTCAAGAATAAAAACCTCGCTGATTGTATCTGGTGTGGGTGCCGGCCTGGACTCTGGCCTTCCTCCCAGCACCGCCTACACTTTTTTCGTGCGTTGCCAAACGGCTGATAAAATTGCCATTAAATATTCAATATTGATATTCTCATACACAGCGAGAAATTCCGTGCTGCCCTGTCGAGAAATGGCTCGCTTTTTTAATTGAATTTCAAGTGGATTTTTTTAGTATTTTTAGATTTTATCTCGAACCATTTCCCATAAATTGCATCTGACAGTGACTGCATTTTTCGCGACCATCGGCTGTCGACTGCATTTTGTGTGTTTTAAAAACGTTTTGGGCCAAAACTAGTTGCATTTTCTTCAGGTGAATTTTGGCCTGCAACAGAAAGTTATTGTAATCAATTTTGCAGCTATATTTTCAGAGCGTTAAATTGAGTTTTTACGAAGGGGCTTCGGCTGCTTCATTTAATTGGATTCCGAAGATGTAATAAAACGCTGAGCGAGAGCCCGAGCCCGAGCCCGAGCCCTGGCTAAATGCCTGAAAAGCTGAACAGTTGAGGGAAAATCCAGTTAAAAGGGCTCCCAAAGCGAAGCCCGTAAAGAGGTGACACCAAAGCCATTAGTAATATTAAATGCGGCATTTTTCATTAGGGGAAATGTGTCTGTGCATTATTCATGGCACAATTGCAGCCCAGTCCAGTCGAGTCGAGTCCATTCACAATTTAAATAATTATATGCAAGGTTCGTGCACTTCTCACCTCAGCGGACAGGCAGCAGGCGCCTGCCTGTGATGTGGCAAATTGAGTTTTGCGAGCGACAAAGTTGCCACAAAACTGCCTGCCAACGGCAACAGGCACACAGGCACACACACAGCCACAACATACGATGTAGGTGCTGTCACACATGCAACTGAACGTCGATTACAACTCATTAGAAAGTTATCGGTGTCGGGGAGGATGCAACATTTGGCCAGCATCCCTGAATCAGATTCACCCTCACAACCAAACTCAACCGAGCCCAAAGGCATCGAGTGTGGGCCGTTTGGGACCCACTTTAACGTGGCCATTTGGCTGGCAAACTGTGTGGCCCCGAAAAGATGATGTGGCCAGCCAAGTGTGGCACCACCGTGGCCATCATAAAAGCCATTTCCCCTCACACCTGAACGAGGACAACGACGATTATCGAAGCAACATTTCCTTTGGCCTCCTCCGACAGACACTGACTGGGGCAGGCCCTCCTCAGTCATTGTTGCTTTTCGGGCCAGTAACTGTACGGCGGGCAAAGCCATAAAGTGACACGGCAAATCGGATTTCATTATACCTTTATTTATACAGATATATAGCTGTAGAGCTATAAAGCTGCAGGAAACTTTTATGTTGGGGGCTGCGCAAACAGCCGGAAAGGTTCGATCGGAGCGAGAGGTCTGCTAATTGATATGGAAATTTGGTAGCCAGGGGCCAAGGCGTGAGCAAACTCATCAAAGTCGTGAAAACTCATTGCAGATGCGATTAAAGGCAAACACTCTGGTGTAAACATGCAGCGAGGTAAGAAGAAGGCGCTGCCCCCGACCCATATCGAATCGACTGTTTACTCTGACCTCAAAATACGCAATATTTCGCATTTGATGATGATGATGATGATGATGATCGGTGGAAATGGAAAGTGAATTTTCCCAAAGATGTAATTTTAAAGTTTATTTTTTCTTCGGTTTCTGTTCGCTCTGTGTTTACGCTGGATTTTATGCAATATTTGTGGATATTTCGAGCGTAAATTGTTGATGCCAAGAATAACACGTGCGGGTCGTGCAATATGACTGACATTGTTGCTTCTAATTGGCTTACACTGTCCGAGGGGAGTGTGAGTGTATGTGTGTGTTGGCCCACAAAGGAACCGACACAGTTATCCCTCTATGTGTTGGGGTCTGCTGGCTTGGGCTCTATTCATGTGTCAAAGTGTCGCCCGTCAACTGTTGTCACGTAGTTGCAACAGACACGACCACAGCAACGGCAACAGCATGCAAATAGCCATTAAGGGAGGCCAGGACAGATCCAATCCTGGGCATATTGCATCCCTGCATAATTGAGATGTTCCTGTCGATGCCAAATCAATGGGGGCCTGGCCTGTAATTAAGCTTGTGGAGATGCGTTTTTGCAACCATATTGCAGTGACCTCCCACGCCTCCCACGTCTCCTATGCCTCCCACGTGCGTAATGCGATTTGGCCGCCCATCGGTGCGTATACGCAACATGGGATATTCGGTTGGACTCTCAGTGGACCATGAGAAACCGTCAGCTGCCAGCTACCCGAATTTTTTTTCTCTGTGTCATTTAAAGCAAACGCATTTCATTCCCCTTCATCGCAATTCCATTGTTGGTCCATTTGCAGTAACAGTATGTATGATTTTGATCTGACTGGAAGCCCGGGCTTCAGGCCAAATGCTGCCATCTTTTCTTCTTATTATTGTTCAAAATGAAATTTATGCAGCACGCACACACATCCATTCGTACAAAGCCATCCATGATGAAGACAGAGCAAAGTGGGGCATCAACACGAGAGAAACAATGCATGTGGAAAAAGGGTTTCTTTCTTTCTTTTTTGTTGCTTATTTGAGAGGGCTTCAGGAAACAATGCAATGTGTTTCAGACTGCAGAGAGATGGTTGCATAATCGCCAGCTGCAGCTGGAGACTTGTAGTACATCCAGTGGTTCAATGATTATCCATTTCACCTTTCCTGCGTATTAACGGACAGCAATTGTGATATCATCTCGTTGCCACATCCGTCAGGACCATCAGCAGCCAACAATGGAATGGTACCCCTGTGCAGAGTCTATCCCAGTTGTCATGATGCTTTGTTCTCCTCATGGC